AACTGGAACAGTTGTTTCATGCTCAGTTTTATAAAACTGAATCTGAAGTCACTTTGGTTGATTTGGCGAATCTACGTCAAATGCCAAATGAATGGGCAGAAAGTTTTCTCCAAAGGTTCAAAACAACAAGAAGCAAGTATTTTGTACCTCTGCCCGAAAAAGAATTTGTCAAGATCGCACAAGGTTGCTTGAGCTTTGATTTAAAAAAGAAGTTCCAGGACAAGGAATTTCCAGACCTTTTCCAGTTGAGTGCGAATGTGATTAGGTATGAGCGACTGATAAGAGAATCAGAACAAATGAAAAATTCTAGTAAAGGGACTTATTACAGAGACCCAAATTTTGACGTTCATACCATCGATGACGAATCATACGATCAGGCCGAAATGTGTTTGGCCGAATTAGTAAAAGGGGATATATATACTTGTCCCATAATGGCCAAGCCTAGACCATCGGGCAAAGATGAGCCCATAAAGGATGGAAACATAAAGGTTAGAACGTTCTCGTTCGATGTGACCAAAGCTGACCTTATATTCGATAAATTATATAGGGATAAGCAAATAAAGCTGAGCGATAAGCACAAATTGCCAAACCCTGAACAAATAAAGGGTAAAAAATATTGTAAGTGGCATAATGCATGGTCACATTTGACTAACAATTGCTTGGTTTTCCGTCACGTATTGCAGGATGCTATTGAATCAGGACGAATTACGTTCGACGATAAGAAAAAGATGGCAGTAGACGAAAATCCTTTCCCACAGCCACTTGGGGTAAATATGGTAACGTCTGGGTTCAAGAACAAGTAGCCAAAATTCAAGTTGGTCATAGACGATGGAGAAGAAAATACTAAAACATATCCCAGTGTCTTCGAACGAATCAAAGGGAAAGAACCAAAAAAGGACGAAAACGTCCTGTGTGCAAGGTGTAAAAGGGAAGTAAATGGAGACACGGAGAAACCAGGGACATGGCAGCATCCTCATCGCCCTGCCTTCTTCCCAAACATTCAGCCTGGCAGAGGGCGAGGTACATCATTTTATAGAGGACCACCTTTCGAAAGGCAGTTCAGACCAGCAGATACTGGAAGAACATTCAGGCCGCAACCTCGCCAGCCAAATGTATGGCATTCATTCCAATACAGCGCAGGAAGGGCAATACCTTTCGATGAGATGACTAGGACCCAGTAAAGGCGTTTCCAGCGAAACTACGGACGGATGATGAGGCAGCAACAAGGAATGCCACATCCCAAAGCGCCTCTATTACTCAAGGTAGCCAATCAGAACGTTCTCAAGGGTAGTAAAGAGACTGGTACAGATGAATCAATGAAGGAACTGCCAGAAACCTCTTCTGGGAGGTCAAGTTTTGAGAGGGAAAAAAAGGACGAAGAAGATCCAGATCAGCCCCTTGCTATCCAATTCGGTACGTTGCCCCCTGTTGTGGCCAATAATTACCTACTGGCCAATGAATTCAAAAATAAAGAAAAGGAAAAAGAGAGGGAGGACAACGAAGGAGAAGCTTGCATGCTGGTATGTGAAGAAGGCCAGACTTCTGGGGAGGCCTACAATGATGAAGAGGACGATGGGATGACAGACATTGAAGAAGAAATCAACCTAGAAGCAGAAAGGAAAAAGAGGGGAGTGTCGCGCAACACTCTGTTTAAGCAACTACACCAAGAGAGAGTTCGCGAAGTAGACTTGTTGGGGGAGCCATCTGGGCGTCCTTTCGACTTTTACGTACTATACGGGACACCCAAAAGGAAGAAGAGAGTACCTCGCTCTGAAAAGTATGGATCACCTCCGAGGATAATGCCCCCTCCCACAGGTTGGATAACTGATGAGGAAGCATTAGAGAAAAGTAAGAAGGAAGTTCGGGAGATAGAGGATCAACGTGACATACTACACGTTGACCTATCACAAGGGGATAATTCGACAGAAAACAAGCAAGAAGTAGAAATAGAGGCTGCATAAAAGGTTGTTTTTAAACGGCCAGCCATGAAATTGACAAAACACCTAAGGCCATTATACGTTAAAACTCTAGTTAACGGCGTCCCAGTGGCAAAGGTGCTTGTCGATAATGGAGCGGCTATAAACACCATTCCATCCAGGATGATGAGAAAGTTGGCAAAGACAGAAGGTGATATGATTCATACAGAAGTCATCCTCACTAGCTTCAATGGAGGAGCAACTTCAGCCAAGGGAGTTATGCCTTTAGACATAACTGTAGGTACGACTACTAAGACCATTGTCTTCTTTGTAATAGATGGCCCTACTAGTTACAATGTGCTCCTAGGAAGAGATTGGATACACGAAAGCCGCTGTATACCCTCGTCGCTCCGTCAATGCCTGATTTTTTGGAATGACAAAGGCGAAGCAGAGGTGGTACAGGCCGATCATAGGCCTTTTGTCGCGGAAGCAAACTCGGTGGAAAAGTTCATGTACGAAGGAAACTATGGACCTTTCAGGGTGGTACAAGACGGGGAAGAAACTCAAGTTGTCGCGCAAAGTGAAGAGTCATTCTCAGTGGACGCACTCACTGAGATATTCAAACAGATGAGGCCAAATATAGTGGCCCTGGAAGAGCCAGTGATTGGCAAAAGAATAATCATGGAATCTTAAATGGATTCTGAGTTGCAAAAGCAAATGGCCGATATTCAGGCCTTCAAAGCCAGACTGATGGCTTTCAATAAGGAATGCAATGACAAAGCGAAGGGAGAGACTGCCTTAAAAGCACTGAAGGACAAGTTGGCAGTATTCGAGTTAGAGCAAAGCCTTGACCGAGAAGTCAACAAGGTGAACTAGTTTGGAAGACGATACTCCCTTTGGATACCAAGGATCCAAAGTAAGGGAAGTGGTCGCCCAATTGGGAAGGACCATACAAAATAAACAGTGTGTTGCCTAATGGAGCGTACCACTTAGAAGATCTAGACGGCACCAAGCACGTAAGATTTATTAACGGCAAGTATTTGAAAAAATATGTTCCTTCTTTATGGGAATGTGAACAGATAAAAACATAACCAATCATTCTGGACGATCAAAAGATAATAAAGACAGAGCGAAATACGTTCGAATAAAGTTCTTTATTATTAAACGTTCATTACAAAAATACAAAAGATACAAATGATGGACGTGCTACAAAATACAACTAAAGTATCTCCCGGTTGATCGCTGAGTAAGCTTCACACCGCCTTCCTAAATGCATCGCTACAATGGTAGGATTAACGAGTAAGAGGGTGTACTGGCTCTACCGCCTTCCTAATTGCATCGCTGCAATGGTGGGGTTGACGAGTGAGAGGGTGTACTGGCCTCACCACCTTCCTAAATGCATCGCTGCAATGGCGAGGCTGAGAAACACTCTCAGCAGGCAAGCTGAGAAGCACTCTCAGCAAGCAAAGTGGCCCACATGCAGCCCAAAAATTGCCTCCCATCATTGACTCCTTGTGAAGAACAAAGAGACGACGGGAAGAATTTTGCAGGAAAAAGCTTCGCTGCTGGCCAGAAAATATTTCCTATACCTCCCATACCAAAGGTGACATTAAGGTAAATATAAGGCGGACGGACTAGACAGTCCATTTTTGGATCTGGTTGGTCGTCAGAATCCCAAGAAATGGCAGCAAATTGGTTTCGAAGAAGAAAATGAAGAGATGAAGATAGAGGGTGAAAAATGCGAAACATTTATAGGGGGGTGAAGATGAAGGGACAGAATATGAACAGCCACATTTCTATTTAATGGACGGAATTAAATGGCCCTAAGTTTTGGGAACAGTAGTGGGAATATCAAAAGGGAGCGGACAAGATTCTTAGTGCAAAGCAGTTAAGTGATTAAAGAATTGATGATTAGAAAATAAACGTCAAATAAATGCACAAGAAGTTAATGTTCGTTAATAATGAACAAAAATTACAAAAGAGAAAAAGACATCGTATGTCTTAATTACAGTCTACCCCATAAGGAACGAATTTGTTCCCTAAGTTTCTCCCAATCCTCGTTCTGCCGGGAGGAAGTGATGTTCAATTCAGCCGCAACGTCATCATCATCAACCTCCAACTTCTTGTACTGTTCGACCAAAGATTTAGTTTGCTCAATCCCCTGAGAGGCGTTACGCTTCTTAGCAGTCATCCTCGCCCTGCAATCGTCCATTTTGGCTTGAAGTTCCCTCATCTGAGCAGCCAAGTTAACCATCAAAGAGTCTTCAATCATGACTTCGGAAGAGATTTCTTTCAACTCGTCCTTAGCCTTGTTGATCTCCATGCGTAAAGACTCTTTCTCAGCTACAGCTCGAAGATATTGAGTACGCTTGGCCTTTAATTCAGCATTCTTGGCCAGCATAGAAAGGACCTCGGAGTGAATGACTTTTAATGTCGCTTTAAAGTCGGCAGAAAGATTGAGCGACGGAAGCGTCAGTGCTTGCTCTAACTTCGCACTCAAGTGCTCAAGTTCATCCTTGTGTCTGGCAGCACTAACCCTTCCAATGTCCATATCCATGAAGGATACGTATTCAAATACCAACTCCTTCAAGAACTTCAAATCATCCTCTGAAGAAGCGGCAGGACAACCAGATGGAGCAGGGCGAGGCATTTGGACCTGCCCCCAAGAAGCGAACAAATCCTGGATAGAACGCACAATCCTGTCAGCGTCCTGCAAAGAAGGTTGCCAATATTAAAAATCATCACTACAATGAACAAGTTGGAAATAGAAATGATAGAAATGAAGCAAAAAGAAAAACTACCTCGTCGACAATCGTAGAAGATGGCACGCCCTCGGCCAAGCTTGCCACCAGCGACTCATCCATTCGTGAGGACTTCCCCTTGTCCGAGCGAGATGATGTTGCCACAACGGGCGGACTCATAGGAGTATCTGCAAAGTTCAAGAGCAACAAATCAGAAACCAATAGCACGAGCAAAGGTAAGACATCAAAAACTGAATTACCTTCTGCTTCGATGATTGGGGGGTCGACACCCTGGGAAGAAGGTGGCTCATCTACGGTTTGTGATGAAGACTCTGGGACTGAAGATGTATCTTTAAGCATGGTCCCATCACCAACCGGTTTGGATGAAGTAACCTCAGCAGAGGATGGTGGAGCAGGAGTTGTTGATGCCAAAGCCTTTGAAGGGGAGACTGAACTTTTCTGAAAAGTCCAAAAGATCATCAGTACACAGAACAGTATCAAATGTGGAAAAGCATACTTGTAAATAGACCGATTTAATTACCTTCCTCCTGACGATAAGAGGGGCATCATCATCATCAACATCATCCTCCAGAATGGGAGATGCTGAGGCTGACCGTTTGCGGCTTGAAGCACTCTTGGCCGTAGTAGGCCTGGCGGGGAGAGAAGAAGATGGACGAGCAGGTTGTTTGGTACGACGAGAAGGAGAGGGGCTTCGAATAGACAAAGGGGTGACCAAAACAAGAGGAGGAGAAGAAATACTCGGTTGGTCTAATGAATGAAAGGCACGATTGGCCTCAGTCGCAAATAATCTGTGCTTCACTGATGGCCAAAGTTGTTCAAAAAGAGGGTGAGTAGCATGACAAGAATTAAAAGGGGTTAATGAAAAATGGCTTGATAAATGGAGGTTGCGATCGTTTATAGCCTCTGCTTCCGCCTTATTAATGGTATGAAAACGGTCAATTAAGCTCTTCGAATAGCAAAGAGGAACAGGCCAAGTTTGGCCAAAACCAAGCTGACGGGCAAAAAATTGGGGAGTATAAATTTCTACCCCCGCTTTGGCATTGGTCCCAGTTAAGATATCATGGAAAAGCTCCCTCCCAGTTAAAAACTGGATCCAAATGAGCAGAGAGGTGCTCGCGCTATCTATAGTGGAAGGGGGATGTACATAGTTTGGAGTCAAAAAAGGAGGAAAATGAAAGAAGGAAGAAATTGAATCTAAAGAATAAAAGAATGAAAAAATGTCCCGTCTAGACATATTTACAGGAGTTAAGGGCTCCATAGCTAGCCCGTAACAGCTAGCAGAAGGATGAGAAATGGATGGAGCACCAAACGATGGAAAATAGGATCTCAACCATAGTTGAGTGAACCAAAGAGGTCCACTGCCAGTGGGAGATGCATCATTCTTCAATTGAGCCCGAAAAAAATCCATACCTCTATAAAGGGTAGCCAAAAACAAAGAACATAAATTCAAAGGCCTGCCACGCGCCAATTCGTGCGCTATAGGTAAATAACTCAGAAAAGGCTTTATACTTGGTACACACAAAACATATTTACAAAGCCAAACTAAAAGAAAGGCTACCCGCTCAGCATGGATAGGCTCAGCCAGGGTCTGCAGGCTTGAATAAGAATCGGTGTAGTTTTTGCCGAACTGTGGGGCGCCACCAGAAACTAAGATACCTGGGAAAATGGTATCACCCAAAGGTGGTAAATTCACCAGGGCCCCAACATCCCTTAACATAATAGACATGGGGCCAAGAGGAAAAATAAAGGTGTTGTACTCAGAGGACCAAAAACTCAAAGCAATCGGAAAGAGCGCTGAGTCAAAAGTAGGGGGGCGAATAGAGACTTCTAACAAATCAGAAATCCATCAAAAAGTGCCTTAGTAGGACCATGACCCACAAGGTGAGCATGCCACCTACGAAAAGCTACATCAGATTTAGGCCAAGTGCGAATACCTCTTTCGCGAAGTGGCCCCAGCGGCAGAGAGTTTAGAAAAGGGAAGCTTTTCAAGGTTACGTAACAAGGAAGCAAAAGATGAACAGTGAATTGTGAAAGAGATGCAGAAAATATGAGGCGTGGTTTGGTAGCAGTAAAATGCCGTGTTTGGGGTTTATAAGGGTTTGCAAAACGACGCACTTCTTCAAGTTATAGAAGGAAACAATGATTGAAATTCTTGGGAACTTCGAACGTCGCTGGAAACATGAAGTGAATATGGCAAAATTCAATAATTATTATTAATTCTGCCATATTGAGGGGTAATTGTTGACACATAAAAATTCAGCCCAAATCGAACAGCCCAATTGAAGGATCCCCAAATCGGATAGCCCAAAGAACGAAATCCAATCAAACGAATTAGGGTGAAGGCCCAAATAAGGGGCCCAAGAATACGGTGACGCCATCGCCCAAGTTTGCGAGTCGCCCAGAATCTGAACGAATGGGGTATCATACGGTCGCCCAGAGCTGTTATTCCACTCTCGCCCAAACCTTCAAGTCGCCCAAGGTATCAACAAATATAACGCATCGTGGTTATCAAGGAATGCAGTTATCAAGGCAATTGTTAAAGTAGCATTATCACGTTCCACGACTCAAGGAATTCAATCGAAAGCGGTTGAACGATGAAAGATAATGACAGCAGTTAAGAGACAGTTTCATGACAAAATGGCCACTACAAAGAAAGTGGGAAGTTATAGGACGATCAAGCAGTTTTCAGGGTAGTTAATCTCAAAGAGATCGTCTAGGAGGTATAAAAGGGAGAAAGGACGCAAAAGCAGAGGACCGAATCCAAAACTCTCGAACAGAGAATATGTAATTTTCATTTCCTTAGCTTTTAGACTTAAACATTTTTCTGTAACTCGTGTGCTTGCGCCCCTTGGAGGCACGTTGTTTTTCATTCCCAATTGCAAAGTCCATCGCCAATAAAAGAACACCCCTTTTTGGGATTTTGTCTCAAGAGGTTTCGTCCCTTACACAATCGTCTGACCCTTTTTAATTGTTAGCGACTTAACCCGCGCGAAACAGTACCCTTTGAAAAATCGTGCGTTAAGGGGTTGTTGTTTGCAAAATTATTTCTTCTCAATTTTAAAACCCACCGCAAGTGTACGGTTCGCTAACAAGTAGTAAAGTGGACTATGAGTCCAAGTATCGTTCCCACGAGGATTAAATTAGCTCTAATTAAACTAACGTGACCTTAACCGAATCTAATTGAATGAAAATTTGGTTTAAATATGAAAACCCTAATTTTGGGAGAAATCCCCAATTCGAAACCCTAATTGCAAAATTGGAAACCCTAATTTCAAAATTTCACTAAGCTAATGAAATAAATATGCAACTAAAATGTAAATACGCAATTGTAGAATTATTGTATTGAAATGAATTGAAATGAAATCATTAAGAACTTGAATCCCCAATTGATTATTAAAAACCCTAATTTCACAAATTCAACGAATCGATGAACAAAATGCCAATTCAATGT